TCAAAATCATGTGCACAGCACTATAGTGTTAAATGTGTTTTTTCACGTGCAACTGGTCACGTGGCCATAATACCGCACGTGTTTTCAGCCATACTTGTTAGCAGTCATTAACAAAAAAAGAAAAACACAAGAAAACAAAAGTCTTTACGGCCATTTGTCATGCCACGCCTTTCAAGTGTGGAACGTGAACGTGCCATCGGCATGTTGTAGACGGGAACGTCCGTAGCTTAAGTCGCAAGGACAATGGGTTGTAGTCGACGGACTGTTCATGATTTACAGACGCGTCTACAGCAAACGGGTACCACCGCTGATCGCCCTCGGCCAGGTCGACCACGTGTGACGTCACATGCGGAGGATCGTCAGATTGTCTTACGTCACCCCCGTAACCGATTTTTGACGGCTACATCAACCAGAAATGAACTGTGTAGGGGTAGACTGAGTGCGCAAACTGTTCGAAACCGTCTGAGAACTGCTCACCTTCAAGCACGACGGCCATACTGCGGGCCGATTCTGACTCAATTACACAGACGTCAACGTCAATTGTGGGCACAGCGACACTTAGGATGGACTCAGAGGAATTGGAATCAAGTCGTCTTCAGTGATGAATCCCGATTTAATCTTCGATTTGCTGATGGCAGGGCGAGGGTGTGGAGGCGCCGTCATGAACGTTACGCCCAGTGTTGTGTACAGGAAGTTGACAGATTTCGAGGCGGAAGTGTCATGGTGTGGGGTGCTTTCTGTGGCAATGCACGTTCCAGGCTTCTTGTCATCCGTGGCAACCTCAACGCTGCTGCTTACCGCGACCAGGTACTGGCACCAGAACTTCTGCCTCGTATGGCAGCACATGGACCCGCTTTGATCTTCCAACACGACAATGCCAGACCCCACACAGCAATTTTGACAAGGAATTTCTTTCAGAATGCGGGAGTCAACGTCATGGACTGGCCGTCAAGGTCTCCCGACCTCAATCCCATCGAACACGTCTGGGATGCTCTTGGCAGAAGTCTGCGCACTCTCCAGAACCAACCACAGAATTTGCAAGATCTTGGCACCATTTTGCAGCAACAATGGCGTCGTCTTCCCAATCATATGTTCACAAGCATCACAAGGTCCATGCGGAGGCGTTGTGTGGCAGTTGTCAACGCACATGGTGGCCATACACGCTACTGAACTTGTGTGCCATCAGATTCTCGTGCTTGGGACTGGATGTTATTACCGAATACCGTAGGTGCTTGGAACAAATTATGGTTACCACCGTTAATTAAAATCCTTCTTTGGACATTAATGATTAAAAATTACCTTCTCTGATACATTTGTCCGTTGTATATCATATATGGGATTTCTTTTAAAAATATGAAGTTTTTAATTTGACTCAGTAAAATTATCCTCTAACGTATAAAACCAACAAAGGAGATGTTACGCTTAATGGAGAAACCACACAGCATTATATGAGATCATTAATAGAATAGGTTAAACCGCTCGAACTGGAAGAACCAGACACTATTCAAATATGTACGTTCTGGTAACGACACTAATCAGACTCCACATGTCTACACTGCCAATGCCCCTCGAGTGTTCCTCCTTGGCTCTCCATCTGTACTAATAGGACGCAGTGGCAAATACGTTAACATCCAATCTAGTGTTGGTACAATCTAATTCAAATTATATTATTTGAAAGCTAATATACAACCTCTGAAAGATTTCAGATGTCCGTCAAGAGTCATGTTTACTGACATACATTACATTTGATATAGTACTATTAAATCTCCGTCTAAAAGGTTTTGCTAATAGCAAGAGCTCATAACGTTGCAGAATAGATATAATGTTATGGTAATGATCCTAAAGTATCTGAAGATCCTGTTAAAAGAGCTTTACCAAACATATATACCTTACCACGGCAGGTGGACTCAGAAAGGTAGTATCCTCTATCTCAGAGAGGTAGTAACGTCACATGAACTACATTAGCTTAATGAGAAATGCGGCTCAAAGGGGTCTTTATGTTTGCAGTGAAGCAACTGAAAGGCTCACATGCAGCTGGTAATATTCACATCGACATGTAGATTGATTACACTTTCAGTTACCTGATGGCTAGGTCATTCATCAACATCAAGTACTAAAGAGAAGACCCTTTAAAGATGCGATCGTTTAGAACTGTACGTACAATCATCATCTTTCGATTTCAGTAGAGAAAAACAGGATTAAAGAATTAGTGAGTGAATTTACTTTGAGGGAAAAGCCATTTGATTACCAGGAGCGGTGGGTGCAAATGAACAGCGTTCGTTCATAAATTTGCCCAAAATGAATAGTTCATTGGCATTGTTGAAAAACGTTTTTAGTTTGGTTTGTGGGGGAAAATACCGTCAAATGTGTTGTTACTATATGTGTTTGTGGACACCGAAAAGATTTGTCTGATTGAGCTCAGTATAAAATAATTTGTTGGATGGAGCTGGGGAGAATTAGCGATAAAATGGGGAAATTATTCACGACACTCCCCGAATCCACACGAATAAATGAAAGTGGTGCTCCCGAACGGTTTTTTTCTATAGAATAGTTTTTTTAGCATAATGTAGGAGATACGCCACTTTGGTGAAAACTGCATGTACGAATTGTCCCCGACAGGCCAAATATGCTAAATTTTAAGAACAATTATATCTCAAGTCAGTCTGTATGAAGTTGCATAAGTACGCGTCAATACCATCCACGAGTCGAACGAAATATGTAGGATACACGGTAGGCTAAGAGTCTTGACTTCCATCGACGATTACGGCGCTAAGCTGATGACGTTATTGGTTCCATTGGGACGTTGATTGGCCAGGTGGATCTTTACGGCAGATGCTGTCAACACAGAACCGTGTACAGTATCTTCTCTGTGATCAACACAATGCCTGTACTCACAGAGGCGCTTAGGGTCGTCCATGAATCATCTACAGCACTGATCAATAGCGTGTTATAACGTATGTGGTATTTACATGTTTGTGAATATTCATGGGGGAGGAGATTGTCGAATGAAATTCCTGAACGTTATTGAGAAATTGTCATTGGTGGATTAAACCACTGCATATATATGTAGAGATATTAGTATCACTGTTATGTATGTACACCAATGACTCATTACACAATATTGATTAATAATAATGGTTATGTTATATTGTTGATTTTGTTGATGATTCTGCACTGCTGGGCGGTACAGAAATTAGTGTCAACCAAGCGAAGTGGCAAATCATATCGGCCCAGACTCTGAACGACCACTGCATCGAGTTTATGTGCAGTGTGTTGAGAAGATCGGCAGCCCTGAAGAGTCCGCTTGGATTAGGTTGGCTGGCCTGAAAGTGAAACAGAATGCTAAAATCCAGGGTACTGACCCCTCACAAGAAGAATCATGGCAGACAATACATTCCACCACCCTCCACCCACTCTTCCCTCAATCGCTTATATTTACCAATCATTATGGGAGGGCGTGTTTTGATTAACGTTGGGGCTCTTCACGATTGGTGGCGGTCGGGTAGCCTAGTGGTTAAAGCGTTAGCTCGTCACGCCGAAGACCCGGGTTTGATTCCCGACATGGGTACAATGTGTGAAGCCCATTTCTGGTGCCCCCCGCCGTGATATTGCTGGAATATTGCTAAAAGCGGCGTAAACCCATACTCACTCACTCACTCTTCACGATAAAATTGTTTTGTTCACTTTTGCACACATTTGTTTGTCTGATGATCCTCTTGTGGAGCGTGTCAAGACTCATGATGAAAAAACAAGGCATTCCACAGTCCCATTTGTGAACACTAAATCCTCATCTGTAAAGTGTTTGTGACATGCATGTGTATTCTGCCCCTGAATTCCCATACATAATGGGATAAATATAGAATACTAAACGAGCTCCCGTGTAATACCAATTTTATGAAACGAGTGAATAGTTCTGGTATCTGACGAGCTATTCACGAGTTTCATAAAATTGGTTTTACACGGGAGCGAGTTTAGTATTTTATTTATTACTGGCCATTTATAACGTTTTTAGAATTATACTGCTGAGTGTGAATAGGCTGACACCTTCACGATCCACGGCATAATCCAACTGAGTTAACACAGTTATACTTCAAATACGTCAAAAGTTGAAACGTATGAATTTAATACCATCCAACGGTCCACCTTTAGAATTCAGGCGTCCGCTCCACAAAATTATCGTAGGGTTAAGGTTAACGCAACTCATATACTTTACTTTAGACCAACGACTGTCGTTGCGCTACCGTACGATCGCCTTGTGGAACGGGGCCTTGCACCTCAAAGTTTACAATCACGTCACAATACCCGATGACGTAATTTGTTGAATTTTGTTGCAATCCTACGGCGAAACAATGCCATGTGACGTCAACCTAGCAACAAGGTTGCTTAGGGCATCGAGTGTGCATAAGCTCCTCTCAGTGATCTATCGTCTCCACACGCAATGTCGATGAATAAGCCAAGGGATGTTGAGAGCTTTCAATATTTGTTCGTGAAACGTGTTCCGAGAGTACATAAGCACGCGTTTTGGTATTACACAACGTGTAATACAGCTGTATGTTTATTAAACGGGTGATCTCTTCACGGTCAAGTAATAAATAACCGTAACAACGGAATAAAGCCGACCTCCCTGCAACAGACACACTGATTGTCTTAACAGCTATAAACATATGGCATTATGCTTTGGACGTTTTGCTTGTGTTAGGATCAAGTTCACTACTAAGCATCTACCGTGTGCCGTGTAGTGCCTACCGCTTACCGTCTAGAATCTAGCGTCTACAGTGTATAATCCAGCGTCTACAGTCTATCATGTCCTGTAGACGCTGGACCAGTATTAGGACATGCGTGGTAAGGAGAAAATGTATTCTGGACATGATAACGAAACATTAAAAATATTATTTTAATCTACGCCAATCGTTACACAGCCTCTATATTTTTTTGGAATGTATCCAGATGATACATTCACAGACAGTTCATAACATGACATTAAACATATCTCCAAATATCACGTGATTCAATTTTACCTTTTCACACTATCGGAGACTTGGTCAGCTATTCGCGATGGAACGTTTTGCCTGTGTGATCTTTCTGTCAACTCTCGTCTCATGGACATCATCCGACATCCCCTTCCGTAACGCCTCCCTCCCCTGGCAGGTGCGTGTGGAGGATGTGGTGGGGAGACTGACCATCCAGGAGATTCAGGCCCAGCTGGCCAGTGGTCAGGGAGCTACCCCACCAATCAGCAGATTAGGCATTGGGGAATACTCTTGGTGGACCAACTGTGGTCGGGGGGATGTCGGACAGAACTCTACGGCCTTCCCCCAGGCCATTGGCATTGGAGCATCCTTTGAGTGAGTGAATTTCATACTTTCAGAAAACATAATCCCGTTCACTTTTTGTCAGTCTTTGCCGTATGGGGGATGGGCTCTTCTTTTTTTTTCTTCTTTTTTTTTCACTTTTTATGGTGGGGGTGGGACTTTTGTAAGACGCAGATTGTTTCTCGATGACCCCTTAAAGACGAACACTCGGATCGAGCCAAACAATGTTTTTTCAGGACTTTCATCTTGTCCGGTGAACATGTGATGTATTTTGAGCCTGTCACACATACTGTCAGTTTGGCTGTAATTCTAGTACACTGGTATGTAGACCGTGGCCGTGTTGTGTTGTTGTTACACGATGTTACATGATGTTACATGGTAAAGTTGTTTAGTTGTTTAGTCAGTTTGGCTGTAATCCTAGTAAACTAGTATATGGATATGTTACCGTGTGGTTGTGTAGATGTTACATGATGTTACATGGTAAAGTTGTTTAGCTGTTTAGTCAGTTTGGCTGTAGTCCTAGTATACTAGTATATGGATATGTAACCGTGTGGTTGTGTAGATGCTGCATGATGTTACATGATGTTACATGATGTTACATGATGTTCCAGGGTTTATTGTGCAGCTGTAACCGTGGAGTTCATAGTTGTTTCAGTCGTGTAAGCGACCGACCATTGGATATTAAGAAACATGTTTATGTAATGTGTTGTAAAATTGGACCGAGGAAATATTATAATATGAATATTACACTCTATTATGAACACTGAAAGTCTTAATTGCCAGCGCTGAAGTAAGAAATGGAAATAATATTTGTAACTTGATCAATGACGTCACAATTACTTCATGGAATAATAGCGTGACGTCATTGAAGTAAGAGTTAAGGTGCACGCCATTGTAAGCTTGGACTACTTAAGAATTTACTTTCACTTTGTGTGATTTCATTGGAGCATGAATCTTCATAGAGTGAGGGCCAGACTGTATGAACATCGGAAAAACCTCTGCGGTATGTTGTAGACAATAAAATTGACTAAGAGAGGAACGTTGAAGCAGTCAATCTGTGTTTAGGTCTTTTCAAGAATACAGTGTCGTGAAACACGTATGAACGTCAAATTATGTCGTTGATACGTTGATTCGAACGTCAGTTTCGCGGTCATGTGACCTGCCTCTCATTCAACAGAGTGAGTGAGTGAGTTTGGCTTTACGCCGCTTTTAGCAATATTCCAGCAATATCACGGCGGGGGACACCAGAAATGGGCTTCACACATTGTACCCATGTCGGGAATCGAACCCGGGTCTTCGGCGTGACGAGCTAACGCTTTAACCACTAGGCTACCCGACCGCCCCTCATTCAACAGAAAAGTCGCATATCGTGTCACCTTCAAATTAAAACATTATCTCAATGTCAATATATCAATATCTGCTTTGTCATGTGGGTCAGTGAGAGAGTGAGTCAGTGGGTCAGTGGGTCCATGAGTTTGGTTGAAGGTCTTCATATCGAAGATGTCAGCTTGAGGCGGCACAAGAGCCCGACGTAATGTCGGTCTCAGAAGTAAGTGAGTGAATGAGTGCAAACACCAAACAAAATCAATATCTTATTAGAATAAAATTTTGGTGAAAAAAAACAGTTGAAAGATCGTAAATTCCGTGGTTTATGCAGACAACCTGAAATGATACAAAAGAAAAGTCCTGTGTATTATACACGACACATATATTTTTCCAGAATTTAATTGCCCATAATTAAGGGTGCATATAACACACGAGTGCGTATTATACACGAACAAATACGTCTTGTGTACATTGATCAATCGGAAGGAATTTGGATTGTTCACTAGCCAATATCTTAGCAAATATCGCCATGGGAGCGTATTAGAGCGCTTATTACGTTGAATACGGTAATGGCCCGGGTACAGCAGTGAGTAAAAGCATCATGAACGTCATACGTCACCAAGGTCGGATGACACGCGATTACAGAGTCTGAATACAAGGTCCTCTTTGTCTCATCGGACTGCCCACATTATTACAAATAAATAATTTCGAGCATTTTCGTTAACAGATTATCTATTCATAAAACTTCCCAGGTCCCCATCACAATACCTCACGGTAGGACTATTAATACCAGGCACAAAACCTAGACACTGTCGTCGTGTGAACTGTGTGACCATTAACACTATATGTGAACCCTGGACACTGTCGCTGTGATTAGGATGACCATTAATACAATATGTAAAACCTAGACACTGTCGCTGTGTGTTTAGGATGACCTTTAATACCATATGTAAAACCTAGACACTGTCGCTGTGTGATTAGGATGACCATTATTATCATATGTAAAACCTAGACACTGTCGTCGTGTTAATAGTGTGACCATTAACACTAAATGTGAAACCTGTACACTGTCGCTGTGATTAGAATGACTATTAATATCATGTGCAAAAGCTAGGCACTGTGGTTGTGTGATTAGGGTGACCATTAATACCATATGTAAAACCTAGACACTGTTGCTGTGTGATTCGGATGGCCATTATTACTATAATAATGTAAAACCTAGACACTGTCGCTGTGATTGAGATGACCATTAATACAATATGTAAAACTTAGACACTGTGGCTGTGTGATTGAGATGACCATTAATACCATATGTTAAACCTAGACACTGTCGCTGTGTGATTAGGATGACCTTTAATACCATATGTTAAACCTAGACACTGTCGCTGTGTGATTGAGAGGACCATTAATAACATATGTAAAACCTAGACACTGTCGCTGTGTGATTAGAGTGACCATTAATACCATATGTAAAACCTAGACACTGTCGCTGTGTGATTAGAGTGACCATTAATATCGTATGTAAAACCTAGACACTGTCGCTGTGTGATTAGAGTGACCATAAATACCATATGTAAAACCTAGACACTGTCGCTGTGTGATTAGAGTGACCATTAATAGTATATGTAAAACCTAGACACTGTCGCTGTGTGATTAGAGTGACCATTAATATCATATGTAAAACCTAGACACTGTCGCTGTGTGATTAGAGTGACCATTAATACCATATGTAAAACCTAGACACTGTCGCTGTGTGATTAGAGTGACCATTAATACCATATGTAAAACCTAGACACTGTCGCTGTGTGATTAGAGTGACCACTAACACCATATGTAAAACCTAGACACTGTCGCTGTGTGATTGAGATGACCATTAATACCATATGTAAAACCTAGACACTGTGGCTTTGTGATTGAGATGACCATTAATACCATATGTAAAACCTAGACACTGTCGCTGTGTGATTAGAGTGACCATTAAAATCATATGTAAAACCTAGACACTGTCGCTGTGTGATTAGAGTGACCACTAACACCATATGTAAAACCTAGACACTGTCGCTGTGTGATTGAGATGACCATTAATAACATATGTAAAACCTAGACACTGTGGCTGTGTGATTGAGATGACCATTAATACCATATGTAAAACCTAGACACTGTCGCTGCGTGATTGAGATGACCATTAATAACATATGTAAAACCTAGACACTGTGGCTGTGTGATTGAGATGACCATTAATATCATATGTAAAACCTAGACACTGTCGCTGTGTGATTAGAGATGACCATTAATAACATATGTAAAACCTAGACACTGTCGCTGTGTGATTGAGATGACCATTAATAACATTGTAAAACCTAGACACTGTCGCTGTGTGATTGAGATGACCATTAATATCATATGTAAAACCTAGACACTGTCGCTGTGTGATTAGAGTGACCATTTATACCATATGTAAAACCTAGACACTGTCGCTGTGTGATTGAGATGACCATTAATAACATATGTAAAACCTAGACACTGTGGCTGTGTGATTGAGATGACCATTAATATCATATGTAAAACCTAGACACTGTGGCTGTGTGATTGAGATGACCATTAATATCATATGTAAAACCTAGACACTGTCGCTGTGTGATTAGAGTGACCATTAATACCATATGTAAAACCTAGACACTGTCGCTGTGTGATTGAGATGACCATTAATAACATATGTAAAACCTAGACACTGTGGCTGTGTGATTGAGATGACCATTAATATCATATGTAAAACCTAGACACTGTCGCTTTATGATTGAGATGGCCATTAATACCATGTACATTAAACTACGTTTATAACGAACTAAAAGAGACCACTAATTGTAGTTCGATATAACCGCAGTTCGTTATAGGCACATTAGAGCCTTTTTCAGCAAATGAACGGGACCAAAAACAGTTCGTAATACCCGTTAGTTCGGTATAAGCGTGTTCGCTATAAATGTAGCTTACTGTAACAACAAATCAGCGTAGTCCCTTCAGAGGCCCACATAGCATCGTATGTCTGGTGAATAAATTATGATTGGTTCACTTGTACATGTCGTCCTCCATTGCACAGATTTTGACCATGACTTATGTATTGGAATGTAAAATATATTAACAAGAACAGAGCATCTTTGTTTAAAAGTAGCAGTTGATGTGATAATTCAGTGACGTGATTCTTCAACACTAACATCTGACGTCCGCCACATACATGTATCTACGCCCACCCTTCAGCAAAGACCTGATCTACCGAGTGGCGGAGGCAAGCAGTACTGAGGTTCGGGCCTACTACAACTACTTCGTGAAGATGGGGTCCATGGGCATCCACAAGGCTCTCAGCTGCTGGAATCCCAACATGGACCTCTACAGAGACCCTCGCTGGGGAAGGGGGCCTGTAAGTAGATGTAGATGAAATGTAGATTATGCAATACATTTCATGAGACTGTCCAACACATTGTCAGTGGATGCCCAGCTTTGACACAAACACAGTATCTTAAACGACATGATGGTGTAGCTCGATCATTTTATTACCGTGGTACGACCCGGAATATGTGGAGGGCGTCATGGAAAATGATAAATACAAAAGTCTTTGGAATAGGCCCGTTTACAGCCTTTGACGTATCCAGGCCAACAAACATTATCTTGTCCTTTTTGATAAATCCAATAAAATCATTTATGTCATTGAATTTTCTGTCCCCTTTGACACTAATGTGATTGACAAGATTGATGAAAAACATGGCAAATATGCGGACCTCGCTTTCGAAATGTCACCCTTGCACCCCAAGTACCAAGTTGTCCGACTCCCCATTGTTCTCGGTGCCCCATCGTGCTCGGGTGTGTCTGTTCGAGGCTCGGTGTGACATCGTGCTCGGTGTGTCTGTTCCAGGCTCGGTGTGACATCGTGCTCGGTGTGTCTGTTCCAGGCTCGGTGTGACATCGTGCTCAGGAGTGTCTGTTCCAGGCTCGGCGTGACATCGTGCTCGGGAGTGTCTGTTCCAGGCTCGGTGAGACATCGTGCTCGGTGTGTCTATTCCAGGTTCGATGTGACATCGTGCTCGGTTGTGTCTTGTCAAGACTCGGTGTGACATCGTGCTCGGTTGTGTCTTGTCAAGACTCGGTGTGACATCGTGCTCGGGAGTGTCTTGTCAAGACTCGGTGTGACATCGTGCTCGGGTGTGTCTTGTCAAGACTCGGTGTGACATCGTGCTCGGTTGTGTCTTGTCAAGACTCGGTGTGACATCGTGCTCGGGTGTGTCTTGTCAAGACTCGGTGTGACATCGTGCTCGGGAGTGTCTTGTCAAGACTCGGTGTGACATCGTGCTCGGGTGTGTCTTGTCAAGACTCGGTGTGACATCGTGCTCAGGAGTGTCTGTTCCAGGCTCGGTGTGACATCGTGCTCGGGTGTGTCTGGTCAAGACTCGGTGTGACATCGTGCTCGGGAGTGTCTGTTCCAGGCTCGGTGTGACATCGTGCTCGGGTGTGTCTGGTCAAGACTCGGTGTGACATCGTGCTCGGTGTGTCTGTTCCAGGCTCGATGTGACATCGTGCTCGGGTGTGTCTTGTCAAGACTCGGTGTGACATCGTGCTCGGGAGTGTCTTGTCAAGACTCGGTGTGACATCGTGCTCGGGTGTGTCTTGTCAAGACTCGGTGTGACATCGTGCTCGGTTGTGTCTTGTCAAGACTCGATGTGACATCGTGCTCGGGTGCGTCTTGTCAAGACTCGGTGTGACATCGAGCTCGGGAGTGTCTTGTCAAGACTCGGCGTGACATCGTGCTCGGTTGTGTCTTGTCAAGACTCGGTATGACATCGTGCTCGGGAGTATCCGGTGTCACTCACTCACTCCTCACATTACAACTGTACTCATCTAACATGCCTACAGATCGTGATAGATGTGCCTCATTACAAACGTAGAAGATTTTCAGGAGACGCTGAGTGAAGACCCCTACCATGCGGGTGAGATGGGGTACCATCACGTGAAGGGTCTCCATGGCAACCACCCACGCTATGTCAGGACTGCTTCCGCCTGCAAACATTTTGACGTGTCCGCAGGTCCTGAAGACTGGCCCGTCAGCAGACACGACTTTGATGCAAAGGTGTGATCAGTTATCTATCTTCATCCAATACTACAGATAGAATTGGCTGTATCTTGTACACTTCACAGACCTTCCCTGAGGTCTTGTCAACTCTGTTTACCACAGTACTTAAAACAGCCTATTGAAACAATATAAAGAATTTGTATTGGTACAAGTGGTCTGTTGCAATTTAGATTATTATTATACAGTATTACTTTATCTATTTCGTATTGCAATTGCAATTTTACATATTTACTGCACATTGATGGTAACTTGTCCAAATGAATTTCCTATTACACCATTCGCGTGAGTGTGTGTGGGGGTGAGTGTGTGCGTGCATGTGTGCGTATGTGTGTTCGTGCGTGTGTGTTCGTGCGTGTGTGTGTTGAGCGTGCGTACGTGCAGGCGTGTGTGTGTGTGTGTGTGTGTGTGTGTGTGTGTGTGTGTGTGTGTGTGTGTGTGTGTGTGTGTGTGTGTGTGTGTGTGTGTGTCTTCATGTGTGTGTGTGTGTGTGTGTGTGTGTGTGAGAGAGTGTGTGTGAGTGTGCGCGTGCGTGTGTTTGTGTGTGCGTGCGTGTGTGTGCGTCTGTATGCGTGCGCGTGTGTGTATGCGTGTGCGGTGTGTGTGTGCGTGTGTGCATGTGTGAGTGTGAGAGAGTGTGTGAGTGTGCGCGTGCGTGTGTTTGTGTGTGCGTGCGTTTGTGTGTATGCGTGTGCGTGTGTGTGTGTGCATGTGAGTGTGTGTGTGTGTATGTGTTTTACTAGTGCGGATTTATGCCAGATGTACAGTGCAAGCCCACTGAAATGGCATGTCGTAAAGTAACATCGACACCACACTTTATACTTCGAGGCAACCAGTCCTTGTTTTAGTCCCTTATTGCCGAGCACCAGGCAGGGTGACAACATGAATCATCTTTTAACGTCCTTGGTATGGCGCGGCCGCGGATCAAACCACCGATCTTCCGCTCTCCAGGCCGCGACGCCGAATACTCTTACCCCAGCTTAATTATTTTCTTCTTTTTTGTCAATTTGACTTTCTATTTTATTTCAACTATCATGTAATTTATATAGGGTAACGGGGAAGTTAAGTGGTTTTCCGTTCGTCTGCAGTCTCGAACCAATTTGATCAAACAAACGAAAAGGTAACTTCATATGGGAAATATGGTCAGTCGTAAACCTTTTTAAAATTCACTTAAAGGCATTCACAAAGACATAAACAAAAGTATAAATGTTACTACATTTGGGGTTTGAGGGCAAAGTTCAAGATTCTTGTAATGGCGGCGCCCACACTGATGGGAGCGATGTTACCGAGAGTGTAACGAAGGTGTCACGTCCTGGGAAGGAGCTTGGTACACTTAGTATACTGTATCCATAACAACCGTGACTGATTGATGAGGAGATTGTAACTAACGTGCTGCATGCAGGTTTCAGAACGAGACTGGAGAAGCTACTTCCTGCCTCCCTTCCGGAAATGCGCAGAAGCAGGATCATTCGGCCTACACTGCGCATATAACCTGTAAGAGCACTATAATATCAAAACTAGCTACGTTTTTTATATTAATCCTGCGTTAAAATTTTGCTTTATTATCGTGCTTTTCGATCGTGTAGCTGGGCGTGGCGTCGCCCTGCCTGGTTGCTGGGCGTGGCGTCGCCCTGCCTTGTTGCTGGGCGTGGCGTCGCCCTGCCTGGTTGCTGGGCGTGGCGTCGCCCTGCCTGGTTGCTGGACGTGGCGTCGCCCTGCCTGGTTGCTGGGCGTGGCGTCGCCCTGCCTGGTTGCTGGACGTGGCGTCGCCCTGCCTTGTTGCTGGGCGTGGCGTCGCCCTGCCTGGTTGCTGGGCGTGGCGTCGCCCTGCCTGGTTGCTGGGCGTGGCGTCGCCCTGCCTTGTTGCTGGGCGTGGCGTCGCCCTGCCTGGTTGCTGGGCGTGGCGTCGCCCTGCCTGGTTGCTGGACGTGGCGTCGCCCTGCCTGGTTGCTGGGCGTGGCGTCGCCCTGCCTGGTTGCTGGACGTGGCGTCGCCCTGCCTTGTTGCTGGGCGTGGCGTCGCCCTGCCTGGTTGCTGGGCGTGGCGTCGCCCTGCCTGGTTGCTGGACGTGGCGTCGCCCTGCCTTGTTGCTGGGCGTGGCGTCGCCCTGCCTGGATGCTGGGCGTGGCGTCGCCCTGCCTGGTTGCTGGGCGTGGCGTCGCCCTGCCTGGTTGCTGGGCGTGGCGTCGCCCTGCCTGGTTGCTGGGCGTGGCGTCGCCCTGCCTGGTTGCTGGACGTGGCGTCGCCCTGCCTTGTTGCTGGGCGTGGCGTCGCCCTGCCTGGATGCTGGGCGTGGCGTCGCCCTGCCTGGTTGCTGGACGTGGCGTCGCCCTGCCTGGTTGCTGGACGTGGCGTCGCCCTGCCTTGTTGCTGGGCGTGGCGTCGCCCTGCCTTGTTGCTGGGCGTGGCGTCGCCCTGCCTGGTTGCTGGGCGTGGCGTCGCCCTGCCTGGTTGCTGGACGTGGCGTCGCCCTGCCTGGTTGCTGGGCGTGGCGTCGCCCTGCCTGGTTGCTGGACGTGGCGTCGCCCTGCCTGGTTGCTGGACGTGGCGTCGCCCTGCCTGTTTGCTGGGCGTGGCGTCGCCCTGCCTGGATACTGGGCGTGGCGTCGCCCTGCCTGGTTGCTAGGCGTGGCATCGCCCTGCCTGGTTGCTGGGGTGCGAGTCCCATAGTTTTGTCTGCAAAGCCAAATTTTATTGTCTACACCAATGAAATAGTTAATATACTCTCTGCCAAAAGATACGTGAACCATAGAAACATGAGAAGTATGCATGTTAAGAAGAGAAGTTTCCAATGTGTACCAATTAATGACAAAACTAACAATCAGTCAAGTGTTACCACAGTGTCTTATCACGCAATAGTGTACGTGATTTTCAAAGTTTACACTCTTAAAACTGCACGAGAAAAATGGTACATCTCTTGAAAATGCATACTTCTTCACCTATTAACCAACATGATATTCGTGTTTCTTTTGACGGTGAGTATATTGTCTTCGTTACATGTATACAAAACTTCAGTTTCACCAAATGCATTAAATTGATAACAACATCTAGTTCTTTAGTAGCAGGAAGCCCGGGGGCGTCAGTCCTATGTACGCTCCCAAGTCACGTGACAACACAGGTTCCCATCTTAGAACAGGATCGTGTGCATCGACGCGAAACACGTCACTGCAATGCTACTGCTTTTAAAGCACTCTTCAATCGTTTACATCACCTCAGCATTTCTCACTGGGCGTGTATTATTTTTGAAGCCGTTAAATCAACAATTAAAAGAAAAATACTAAATACGTTTCTCCACCTAGCATCAATGGTGTCCCCGCCTGCGCCAACAAGAAGCTGCTGACGGACATCCTGAGGGGGGAGTGGAACTTCACCGGGTACGTGGCTTCAGATGCTGGCGCTCTACTTACCAGCATCACGGAGCAGCACTACTTCAACAACACCGTCGATGCCGCCGCTGGCTGTCTGAACGCTGGGTGTGGCCTCGAGGTGCAGGGGGGTGACACGAGAGTCTACGACTCCATCAGTGAGTATCAGTAGCGGTGGTAAATATGCATTGTGTCACATTGTACGGGAATATATATAACAGCCCCGGGGGTTTCCATTTATAATAGGTTTCCAGCAATCCTTCAATTGCAACTCCGGAAGGTCAGGTGCGATGAATTTGTACACTACGTGCCATCGCATTTAGATGGCGTAGCTCGATACTCATAATATCAATCACTCGATTATCTGGACCAATCTCGAATATTTACAGGCCACCGTCTTATAGCTGGAATATTGTGTGACGTTTACAACAAGGATACTGATGCACCAGTATCACTACACTAAAAACGTGACGTCATGACATATGAGGAGGCACTGGTAGCCCAGTCGTCTATGTGCAGAGTTGCGTCCCTTAGGTACGCCAGAAACCTATGATTGTGGGTTCGAATTCCGTTTCGTCCCGATTATGTTTCTAGGTTTGTCAGCACCATACCCGTGCTCGTGGGTTTCACCGAAGTGGTAAACGTCCCAATCTTGCTGCACGTCGGATTTCCTCCCACATGAAACTTACACGCCGTGATAAAACAGGAATACTGTTAACATCGGCGCTAAACACAACACACTCACTCACTCATGGCATGTGTTAATGTAATAGAGGATGATAAACTGTGATATTATATCAAGTGGAATCTTGTCATATAACGATTCACTTAAGACGAAATTAAAAGTATGAAATCATAATTGCACTTGAGTGAATGGGTGAGTATGGTTTTACGCCGCTTTTTGCAATATTCCAGCAATATCACGGCGGGGGACACCAGAAATGGGCTTCACACATTGTACCCACGTCGGGAATCGAACCCGGGTCGTCGGCGTGACGAGCGAACGCTTTAACCACTAGGCTACCCGACCGCCCTAATTGCACTTGATCCAGGCAATAATCTTTGTTGAAACGCATAACATCTTGCATGTACCTTCAGTTGATGCCATACATCAGAACAAGGTCACCAAAGCCTTGGTCCGGGAGCAGATGAAACCCCTCCTCTACACCAGACTCAGACTCGGAGAGTTCGACCCCCGGGAGATGAACCCTTACAACTACCTTGACATTGATGACGTCGTGCTGAGCTCCACACACCGACAGCTGGCTGTAGAGGCAGCCACCAAGAGTTTCGTCCTGCTGAAAAATACCAACAGCTTTTTACCTATCAAGACACGTTATAACCACATTGCTGTGAGTTACAGGGGGACTCTCGGTTGGATCTGTAGAAAGGGACCCGTGACGGTTCGGGGTAGAATAGGTCTTCAGCAACCCATGCTTGCCGTAAAAGGTGACTATGATTGTCGTAAAAGGCGACTAACGGGATCGGGTGGTCAGGCTCGCTGACTTGGTGGATGTATGTCATCGTATCCCAATTACGTGGATTGATGCTCATGATGTCAATCACTGGATTGTCTGGTCCAGACTCGATTATTTACGGACCGACGTCACATAGCTGAAATATTGCTGAGTGCGGCGTTAAACAACAAATAAGAAATGTTTGGAACAGAGCATTATCACTCAGAGTGTTGAAAATGTTTTTGTCTGCCACAAAAAATGCATTGCTGCAAGATGCTTTTTAAAAGCAAGATGCTTTTTAAAAAAATCATTTAGGCTCATATTTTAAACATATCAGGTTTTGCAAATTCAAGAATTCTAATTGGCGTGTCCCGCACACAACGCCTACACTTAGCTATAGGTCGTTGGTGAAATAACCGCTCAATGGTTTTATTGTAGTGAGATCTATCCCAGTGTGTGGACTGTATGAGAATGAGATAAGTGTTCAGTCTGAAACGTACGGTGGCCCATAAGGGACATGGAGTCTGTTTTTCCATATTTTGATATTTCACTTACTTTTATCGTAACCTTTTGCAAATTAACACGATTTTTCTTACAAATATGTGATAAAGCATGTGTAAAGAAGATATTGAATCGCTGAAAAGTGAAACGAAAATGTCAAAAACTAAAATGAAAATGTCAAAAACAAAAGCGAAAATGTCAAAAACTAAAATGAAAATACAGAAAACTATTCCCACGGCGGTGGGAAAATTATCACCGCGTTGGAAATAGTTTTCTGTATTTTCATTTTAGTTTTGGACATTTTCGCTTCACATTTCAGCGACTCAATAGCTACTTGAAAGTATATTTTCCATGTTTTCGGTTGTTTTTATACATGATTTATCACATATTTGTGTGACAAATTGTGTTAATTTGCAAAAGGTTACGATAAAAGTAAGTGAAACATCAAAATATTGAAAAACAGACTCCATGTCCCTTACGGGCCACCGTAGAAACATCACCAGCACAAACCTATTTCAGCCCGTAGCATTACGACTATACAGCTACACTAATTGGCCAATCAATAATTACATAGAATAGATGCACCTGGAGCCGACATGTTAAGCTTCACCTTTTAATGCTACGTTTTACGGATCGACCACCAAACACCACCATCAGAAACCTCTATAAAAGTTTACGGGACCCGCCACTCTACCTTTGATGGATGGGACACATAAAATATTTAAAATGCAGCCTAACATTTTACACGATACTCGATCACATGCACCATATATAAACTCTGGTCCATCATTATATAGCCCATATAAGATAACATATAGAGTTTACTCGAGTAGAGTAGGTTACGCAGCACTTTATTCGATACTCGTTTTTGTTGATTAATCCGATATTGGAGCAATATATCTTTTTTAAGTATCTTATGATGAACATTGCTACATGTGCTTGTATTTTTTATGTGGACTTTATGTTCATTGAGGTTAAAGAAGAGAGGATTTCAGTGCTTGTAGGGGCACGGGTAGCCCAGTCGTCTAAGGAGCCGTGCAGAGTTGTGTCCCTTGGGTACGCCAGAAACCTATGATTGTGGGTTCGAATCCTGGTTCACCCCGATTATGTTTCTAGGTTTGTCATCACCATACCCGTGCTCGTGGGTTTCACCGAAGTGGTAAACGTCTGAGACCTGCATCACTTCGGGCTTTTCTCCCACATTAAGCTGACACGCCGTGATATAACTGAAATACTGTTAAAAGCGGCGTTAAACCGAACTCAATCACTCACTCACTCACTCAGTGCTTGTATTTCCCTCATTTATACTCAAAGGCGAAAGTAACTGATAATTCTCCAATCATTTATCCTGGCCAGATGGTTTAGAAACATATTTTTCATATTTCAACTCATTTTAAATTTCGAAGTGTTCCGAGGTTTAGGAGGATTAGGATAGGTCTCACATATTTCCAAAAGCATTTTTATGTTTTTGGTATCCAAAGTTTTAACATTTGAAATTTTACTTCTGCATACCATCGTTCTGAATGTGAAATTGTAAGATTCTGTGCATTCCCTATTACAGATAGAGTGAGTGAGTGAATTGGGTTTAACGCCGCTTTTAACAGTATTCCAGTTATATTACGGCGTGTCAGCTTAATGTGGGAGGAAAGCCCGAAGTGATGTAAGTCTCAGACGTTTAGCACTTCGGTGAAACCCACGAGCACGGGTATGGTGCGACAAACCTAGAAACATAATCGGGGCGAACCGAGATTCGAACCCACAATCATAGGTTTCTGGCGTGCCCAAGGGACGCAACTCTGCACAGCGAATCGCGGCGCCTTAGACGACTGGGCCACCCGTGCCCCCTATTACAGATGCAAGGCAGTTTTAAGGAGAATGAGACTTCTTAACGTTCACTACGAGTGAGTGAGTAAATGTGTGAGTTGGGTTTAACACCGCTTTTAACAGTATTCCAGTTATATCACGGCGTGTCAGCTTCATGTGGGAGGAAAGCCCGAAGTGATGTAGGTCTTAGACTTCACCACTATGGTGAAACCCACGAGCACGGGTATGGCAATCGGGGTGAACCGGGATTCTAACCCACAATCACAGCTTTCTGGCGTGCCCAAGGGACGCAACTCTGCACAGCTAATTGCGGCGCCTTCGACTACTTGGCCATCCGTGACCCTTTTTAAGACGAACCAACACGACTCTCTTCAGGTGGTAGGCCCCATGGCAAATGACAGCCAGCAGGTGTTTGGTGACTACGCCCCAAGTCCCGACCCCCGCTATATCACCTCCCCCCTGTCCGGACTGGTCAGACTGGGCACTACGGCCACCCACGCTGCCGGCTGCTCCAGCACCTTCTGCACGGACTACAGCAAGACGGATGTGGTTAAGGCGCTGCAAGGAGCTGACGTGGTGTTCGTGTGTCTAGGAACAGGTGAGAACTCCGCAGCAGCACGTCATGTCCTGGGGTCTCAGCTCTGCACAGTCAATGACGGCTCCAGAACAACATTGCTCAAACGTTGTTCTGCGGTTACTGATCCCAGCATCATCAACTTGACATGTTACATTGATGACACGTGGGGTGACATGTGAGATAGTGTTGACTGGATGGATGAAGAAGTTGATCTGGGATTCTGAAACGGAACATAATTTGATAACAATAGAGCAAACATAAAAATGAAAATTCCTATGAAGTCAATGTATATATAGTAAACTACGGTTATAACGAACTAACTTTTTAGTCGCGTCCATATGCTGCTTATATGCTGTATATACAGTAAACTACGGTTATAACGAACTAACGGATATATCGAAATTACTTTTTAGTCCCGACTATATGCTGTAGTTATGCTGTATATATGCTTATAACGAATTACGGTTATAACGAACTAAAATCAGTAGTCCCTTTGATTTCGTTATAGCCTTAGTTTACTGTACAGGGAATATTTGTTTGAGTGCAGGCTGAAAACTAAATGTTTTTGTTTATTTTTTGTTTGTTTGTTTGTTTGTTTGTTTGTTTGTTTGTCATCCTACCCCGACGCATCTTCCCGAGGCAAGGGAGTTGACTGGCTGTACAAGTTCAGTTTCCACCCTTGCAGAACTAGGCTGGAATTATATTTTGGCTGGAATACGAGTCTACGCATTGTCAATCAAAAGAGCTCAACGAACGAAATCGACATCCCGTTCGTAAACTGCCATGCAGATTTCGGTAGACTGCAGGATTTTCAAAGCATGTGTACCGCTACCTCGGCGTCAACAGATCATTCATTAATTTATTCAAGGTGCTCACGTGATTTGATGCACTGCGCGAAGTAAGCGCCGATTTATAACAATATAAACTGACGGGCAAAAGAAACTATACCAACATTGATTTGGTGTTGACAACATTATCAAATATATCACAAAAATAAAGTGTTGCGAGTTGGAAAGAAAATTTATCTGACAATGTTCTGATTCAAATTCCACAAAGGTGGCATTTACAGGAACTTCAATATCAGGGAAGGGATGACACAGGGGGTAAATGTCAATTTGCAAAATAAACAAATCATCTGAACGAAAACAGAAAACGCATTTTTCTGACAAATGCATTACTGTCAGTATCTTGTATGGCCTCCATTGCTCTGAATACAGGCTTGGACACGTCGCCGCACGGAGTTTACAAGATCCCTGATGACGTCATTAGGGATGGGTCGCCATTCTTCCAACGGTGGCTGAATCAACGTTTGACGACTTGGCGGAGGGGGATTTCTTTCCCTTATTTGTCTGTCCAGATAGTCCCACAAGTGCTCAATGGGTGTCAATGGCCAGTAAGTCAGGCGATCTTACTGGCCATTGCTAAAGGTTTACATTATTTGCAGTTAGGAAGTCTCTGGTGATCCTGGCGGTGTGGGAGCGAGCGTTGTCCTGTTGGAAGATTACTCTGGGATTCCTCTGGAGGAAGGGAAGCATCACAGGACGCAATACATGGTCGATGTAGACTTGAGCATTTAAATTACGGTCAAGGACAACCAGGTCTGTTGTACGGTCCCTGTAAATCCCACCCCATACCATGACGCTTCCACTACCGAATGGCACGGTCTCCTGAACACAACATTGGGCTGTTCTCTCTCCTCTCCAACGATACACACGCACACGGCCATCAGCTCGATACAACTGGAACCTGCTCTCATTAGAGAATAGAATTCGTTGCCAGTTCCTGTTTTGCCACCGCTGTACCATTCTTGCCCAATGGAAGCGGTTACGTCGGTCACGACGGCTCAAGGTCATCCCGCGAAAGGGCCGGTAGGCACGAATACCGTGTTGTCGAAGACGCCTGGCAACTGTCCTTCTGCTGACCACATGATGTAAGGCTGTGGCTGCCGATGACGTCACAGTGACGAAACGATTGCGTAGAGTCAGTCTCGGCATGTCAGCTGTTGTGGTCGGTACGATTGTGGTGTAAAACAAACAGATTGGCGGATTTTATACCGCTCCGAGCCATTTTTGTCGTGATGCACGTGCATCCCATTTTGAATGAAAAAAGCTCGATAAGGTCCATATTCGGGAAGAAGCAGGATTTTTTTAAATTCAGTAATGATGAAGCTGCCTTCATGCAATTTTGTTTGACAATGAAAACTCCAGTTCAGTGCTGATTTGATATTTTTTAAATAAAAAATACTTTGGTATAGTTTCTTTTGCCCGTCAGTTTACATTTTGATTATCGACATAATTCGTAATAGCCACTGGTGACGCTACAATCGAGCCCAGAAATTCCAGATAAGTTCGGCAAAGGTGGAAATTGGACTCTTACAGTCAGTTAACTCCCTTGCCTGGGGAAGATGCCCCGCCCCCCCCCCCCCCCCCCCCCCCCCCCCCCCCCCCCCCCTTCCCCTTTCTACGGCGTGGGTCGTTTCTTCATATCAATCACTCGATTATTCACAGGCTGCCGTATAGGGCTAGAAAAGTGAGGGGTGCGGCGTTTAACAACAAACCTACTCTCCATGTCTGACATAACAATGGGGTATATATCCTACAGGTCCAGCTGTAGAGTCAGAAGGACACGACAGACACAACATCTCCCTGCCGGGACAGCAGCTGCAGCTTCTTCAGGACGTCGTTGGCAAAAGTGAGACATCATCGACACCATCTACAGCAGCTCAATCACCTACATCATTGTGAACGACAAACACTGTCGTGTTGGATTGATCATTCATTCTCTAGATACTTTGTCATCGACATGCACTGCATCGACATCAATGTTGACGCCAGCACCAACTTATCTGACAATGACATGTACATCATCATCACCGTAAACATCGACATCGTCACCAACATCCCCTGTAGCTACATCTGCATAGTCTACGTCAACATGTACATCTACATATATCTACGTCAACATTTACCAACGTTGCCATTTAGCGTCTAAACCTGTACCAACATCTCCACCAATATCGATATCATTGAACACTGATGAAGATGTACTGTGGCAATGATATCTGTACCAATCACAAAACGTATATCCACCTTGTATTCACATACGATCATTTGTTTCATATTAAATTGCGAATAGTTGTATAAAAAAAACCTGAAAAACTAAATTTCATTCAAATAGAACTACAGTAAACTACGTTTATAACGAACACCCTTGTACTGAACTGACTGATAAACGAACTGTTTTGGGGTCCCGTCCATATGCTGCTTATATGCTGTATATACAGTAAACTACGGTTATAACGAACACGCTTATAACGAACTAACGGATATAACGAACTTACTTTTTAGTCCCGACTATATGTTGTAGTTATGTTGTATATATGCTTATAACGAATTACGGTTATAACGAACTAAAATTAGTAGTCCCTTTGAGTTCGTTATAACCGTAGTTTACTGTATGTTTATAACTACGGATAAAACAAAATAAAATAAGTGGTCCCTTTGAGTTCGTTATAGCCGTAGTTTACTGTATTCATCTATTTCAATAGCATGTTTCTGAATAACAAAAGAAAAATAATTTTGGTCATGAAATCAGAAAGAAACCAGTTTACAACGTCAGAATGACTATCTTTTATCATATAACTGGTCACGTTTCTGCGCGTGATACCAATGCATTAAATGATCATATTGAAGCTGACAAGCCGGTCGTCTTGCTCCTCTTCAATGGCGGACCAGTCCACATCGGATGGGGGGTGGAGAACCAACGTGTTGTTGCCATATTAGAATGCTTCTACCCGGCCCAGGCGGCGGGCGATGCTATCTTTGCTTCTCTGACAAACGCCGGGGTTGGGTCAGTACCCGCAGCCAGACTTCCCTACACGTGGCCGAGCAGCGATAATCAGGTTCAGTTGAAAAATATTACTCTGTTTCTTCATTCAGTGATATTTATTTCTAAATAATAATTCACTGTAAACAAATTACCTTTCATACACGTCAACCTCCGTAGCGTCATTGGTGAGTTTGAGAACACAATTAATATTTGAAGGATGTCGACATCTCCCCTTGCAGATTCCGCCCATGGTGAACTACTCCATGGCTGGGCGGACATACTGGTACTTTGATGGAGAGCCTGCCTTCCCCTACGGCTACGGCCTGTCGTACACGACGTTCAGATATGCTGACTTTACCTGCGACATCACCGTTATGGCCGGGGAGGGGTTGTGGTGTAGCGTCACTGTCTACAACACCGGGTCATATGACGCTGATGAGGTCAGTTTACATAGAGTATACACAAAGATGAGGTGACTGTCTAGAACACCGGGTCATATGACGCTGATGAGGTCAGTTTACATAGAGTATACACAAAGATGAGGTGACTCTCTACAACACCGGCCCATATGACGCTGATGAGGTCAGTTTACGTAGAGTATACACAAAGATGAGGTGACCGTCTACAACACCGGGTCATATGACGCTGATGAGGTCAGTTTACATAGAGTATACACAAAGATGAGGTGACTCTCTACAACACCGGCCCATATGACGCTGATGAGGTCAGTTTACGTAGAGTATACACAAAGATTAGGTGACTCTCTACAACACCGGGCCATATGACGCTGATGAGGTCAGTTTACATAGAGTATACACAAAGATTAGGTGACTGTCTACAACACCGGGTCATATGACGCTGATGAGGTCAGTTTACGTAGAGTATACACAAAGATGAGGTGACTGTCTGGAACACGGGATCACATGACGCTGATTAGGTCAGTTTACCTCTTCAACACTATTAGTTAGGTGTCTTTAGTTGCCGTATGAAAAATAATGTCTTTGCACATCACAATTAATGAGTGAGTGAGTGAGTGAGTGCGGTTTTACGCCGCTTATAGAAATATTCCAGCAATTCCACGGCGGGGGACACCGGAAATGGGCTTCACACATCACAATTAATGACATTCAAACACAAAACAGTGTCGAATAACGAATTTCTGTACAGAATTTCTTTGTGAAATATATGAGGTGGGTGTTGGAAAATTCAAAATGGCTGTTACTGACGGTATTCGGTCTTATATTAGGTCAGTGACAACCATCTTGAATTTGTACAGACGGTATACGGGTTCATGTGGGGTTCGTAGTTCTGCTCTCTGATTGGTCAGTTTTACTTTGAGGCATGATAAAGGGTCATATGAGGCTGATGAGGTCAGTGTCCCATCACTGATGCACAGATAAGTCGGCGTCAGAAGTTGAGATTGTTCATGATTAGTTGTGCATTATCTGAACCATTACTTTAGTATGAGAAATATTTACATCTCACATTAATTAACCTTACTCAACTGATCTCAGGGGGGCAAGGGTGGCCCAGTCGTCTAAGGCGCCGCGATTCGCTGTGCAGAGTTGCGTCCCTTGGGCACGCCAGAAACCTATGATTGTGGGTTCGAATCCCGGTTCGCCCCGAATATCTTTATAGGTTTGTCAGCACCATACCCGTGCTCGTTGGTTTCACCGAAGTGGTAAACGTCTGAGACCTGCATCACTTCGGGCTTTCCTCCCACATTAAGCTGGCACGCCGTCATATAACTTGAATACTGTTAAAAGGGGCGTTAAACCCAACTCACTCACTCACTCAACTGATCCCAGTTCCGTTCATACCTCCGTCCATGACTGCAAGCATTTTTCCGCTGCTACTCGTCTCTTTCCGTGACATGGCTCCGGAATTACACGAACTGTCACAAATTGCATCAACGACAACTACGAATATGAACCGCCACACAGATATAATAGCTTGTTGACAAACTATGAATCTAGGATAATTATTGTGGACTATTTCATAGTTGGAATTGGGATTATCTGCAGATGACATCCTTTTAATTGTTCACAACGCCCAAGAAGTATATGTAACCTGTCCGTCAAAATGTTCTTTTTCATCAGAAACGTTTCCTATTTATGAGAATAATAATCACAGCAGGTCACTAGTGCTAATTTGTTATTTGAAATCTTTATCATATAAATCATATTTAGGAATCTGGTTCTCACACACAATGAATTGGAAAAAATCTGCCCTTGACTTGTCTTTGCGTGCAAAGAAAGCTTTAATAAGTGTAATGTCTATTGCTCATAAAGTGGGATCGATGTCACCTAATATCTTCTTTAAGCTTTTTGATACCCAGATACAACCAATTTTATTGTATGGTTCTGAAGTATGGGGATTTCAACGTTATGACTGTTTAGAGAAGGTTCACTTATTAGCATGTAAAACGTTTCTTTGTGTCGGATCTTCTGCACCAAATTGCATGGTTTATGTTGAATGTGGTAGATACATATTATATATTAACTCTCAGATCAGATGTTTAAAATACTGGTTTAAAATTCTTCATATGCATGAACAACGTCTCCCCAAATTAGCTTATAACATGCTTCTACATTTAGATAACACGGGAAAGAATACTTGGACATCGCATATAAGAAATCTTTGGGAGTCAGTTGGAAATGTAAACATGTTTCTTAATGAATTTCGGAATCGGTCTATAAATATGTTCTACCAAGAATGGCACTCCACTTAAGAGGATAGTTCACGTTATGAATATTATAAAATTTTCAAAACTTTACTTCAACCAGAAATATATATATCAGTATTCACTACGGAAAACTTAAGAAAACAGTTAATTAAATATCGACTTGGTTTGCTAGACATATTTGTAAATGAAGGAAGAAAACTGTACATTGAAAGAATGAAATAATTTGTCCATTGTGTAATCTAGAGATAGAAAATGAAATTCATTTTGTGTTTGTCTGTCCATTTTACAATGATCTCCGAAAGAAATATATAAAAGATTATTTAATAGCAATGTCACCGATAAACGCCTTTGTAGTTATGCTGACGACAAAGAACGAATCAAATATATTAAATCTTTCTCTTTATATTAAGCATGCATTTGCCAAAAGAAATGAATTAATCAAACAACGTGTATATCCCAATGTGTAACATATATGATTGTATCTACACGCGTAACTCTTTCTTGTATATGGGCCGGGGGCCTTTTTGTAAATAAACTTCTTTTGACTTTTTGTATGAACCATCTATCTCATACTTCTGATAAACATGGATCTATCTTATAGTTTCTCTTCCAGGTGTCACAAGTGTACATGTCCTGGCAAAATACGTCACTTCCTGTTCCCAGAATTCAGTTGGTCGGTTTTACCAGGAGATTCATAATTTCAAACGGGTCAGCTGTCTATGAGTTTACACTGGATCCCAAGAACATGGCTGTGTGGACAGATGACGAGGAATGGGTGGTTCTTCCAGGTAGGTCATCGTATGTCCACCTGAAGCAGAAGCAGAAGTAGTAGTTATGGTGGTGGCGGTGGCGGTGGCGGTGGCGGTGGCGGTACAAGTAGTGACAGTAGTAGTTGTGACAGTCATACAGCATCCGATATTGACATGACAGTAGTCCGAATTGAGATGGGGTAGGAAAAACAAGCTTCTAGCTTAATGGACAGTTGGCACACACATCTAAAATCAATCAAGTTCAATGACACGTCACATTAATACCGTATATGACCACCCCTGCTACAAGACACGCAAAACATCTCCGGGGCACAGATGACGATGACGAGATGTGGGATGCGTCGGCAATCGGCATGGAGGGACGGGATCAGTTCTTGTTGGTTGGCTGGAGTATGTGTCTCTGTCGAACATGACGATCAATGACGTCCCAGAGGTGTTCTATGGGGCACATGTCTAGGGAGCATGAAACACGTTGACGTTGTTGGATGCAAGGAAGTTCTGTTCAATTCGGGCTGTATGGGGTCTGGCGTTGTCATGCAGATAAAGGACACCACGTGGTAGCTGTTGTAGAAAGGGTAGTAATCGGACGAAGAATGTCATCCACGTAATGCTGAGATGTCAAATTTCCGATAACGATGACCAGTGGTCTCTCCTGCCCACAAATTCCTCCCCACACCATAACACCCCCTCCACCATACGTCACGACCTCCTGAACGCAACATGCCGCTGTTCGTTCTTCGCCCTGGGCGGTCAATTTGCTGTCTTCTATCAGCTCAAAATCGGCAGAAATCGACAGAATCGGCTTTCATCGACGACCCTCTGCCAGTCACGTCGCTAGTAACGACGTACACTCGCGGCCCATCTCAATCTCTCACGAAGATGCTTCGCTGTCAATAACTGTCATCTGTAAGGTCTGTAAGCCCTAATTCCTAGAGCCCTGAGTCGCTTGGCCACTGTCTGTAGACTAACCATATGCGCTAAGGTATTCGTCGCTGATGACGTCTGTCAGGAATCGATTCCGGTGATGCAAATTGCTCCAGTACCGGTCTAAATTGGGTGTAGTTACCCTGGGTCTGCCTGTTTTTCGTCCGTCTGATGTCTTCCCGGTCTGTCTGTAACGTTGCATCAGTTACAGCAACACTGGAGCAACCAATTCTAGCAATATGGGCATGGGTGGCTCCCATCTGCATCAAACCCAGGTCCCGCTCGTCTTGTTTGGGTGTCAGACGTTGCATTATTGTATTCCATTATTGCACGTTTAGTTTCGGCTGCCCAAGCGGCACGTGTTTTCCACTTCTTCGCAACAAAAAGACGTGCGATTGACTTGTATCACTTTCTGCATAGAGCATTGTTGTGTTTGGACGATATGTTTTGCATTGATACAACTTGAACTGTTGCATCTCAATATTTGTAATTTCCTTTTTAAAGTGGTAAATATTCTTCTGGACGTCAGTTTATGTGTTTTCACCAAACGCCTTAAATATTTGGCAATACATGGTACCCAAAACCTGGTAAACATGTATATTTCTCCTACAGTTAAGAATGATAATTAAGTTAAGTACTTACATAAGACAAGAGCTGGGGTGTATGTTTCAACACTCGCCTTTTTAAGCTACATCTGCAAAACCATATATTTTGTTAGCTAAAACCATGAGCCAAACCAGATTTATTTGACAAGAAAAAAAACCAGCTTGCAACAGTGCATTTTTTGTGGTTTCGTTTGTTTCAACAGTCAGAAGCACAATCTTTTTCAAACCTTTTCTTGGACAATTTATATATCTTTTTCCTTTTAACCATTTGGAAATATTGACTTGATAACTTGCCTACCTTTTGCTTTATGATTGCTTATAACACCTGGTGTCAGGAGTAAAGTACCCATCCAAGTGTATATATTAACATTACATACTTGCCACGGTCAACCATTTAAACACTTGTACGTGTTCCGGAGGTCTTCGTGCACATACATACTGTATAATGTGACTTTGTCCATTTCCATCTTCTTTGTAGGTGCGATGAACATCTATGTTGGAGGCCAGCAGCCCAATCAGCGGACATCTGTCGGATCTAACGTGGAACACAGGCAGTTTCAAATTATAGGAACCAAGATATTGGGAAAATATTAAGTAACTTTATGCATTTGTGTTTTAATTACCCTTTTTGCATGTTAGATACTAGTGTTTCACCATGTTAGTAGAGAGATGGAGTGCTATAAGGCCCCGATATTTGTACAGTTTGTACTTTAGTTGCAAATATGTAACGTCACATTCATTCATTGTTCAGAAAGTACGATATGACGTACTGTTTACGACGTCATAATCACATCAAATGAACAATAGGTCAGGTTTCACATTACACACTTTGTTCTTCAACTACTTACAGCATCATTTAAGGCTGATACATTTTCCCATTATCTGCTTGGCTGGTTGTCGTTTTTCTATAAAAAGGTCAGTGACGTCGGAGTTAGAACGAGGTGTGCATATGCCAATCTAGAGACTCTAGGCGACCTTTGTATATAACAACATAACTGCCGTGCAAAACGTTGTATGCTCTTGGAAATTGGATTTGACAAAAACCATACAGACGTTATCAAAACGTTACAAGGCTGAAAACTGCAAATTAGGGTGCAATACACAACTGTTATACCTGTATCAAAAACATCAACATCGAATAACCATTTCTTGTTTGTTTCAATTTAGCCACCATCAAACATTGGTGTATACATTCGTTTGTCCGGCAGTATATTTATACAGTAAACTACGGTTATAACGAACTCAAAGGGACTACTAATCTCAGTTCGTTATAACCGTAATTCGTTATAAGCATATATACAACATAACTACAGCATATAGTCGGGACTAAAAAGTCAGTTCGTTATATCCGTTAGTTCGTCATAAGCGTGTTCGTTATAACCGTAGTTTACTGTATTCCGACATCGCTATTATTTAACCGCTAAAATACAGAACTCTTTGGCTATGGGGACATGCGCTGATACTTATAAAAAAGTCCCGCCTAGGCAACGTGACAGCATAGCAACGCTTTGTGTACAACGGGATCCCACCTTCAACTGAGTCATCATAAAAGCACGGGACTCTCCTTGGTGGTATTTAGTATGAGAGAAAGACGCTTCGTTCGTCTGGTGTTAATTCTTGTCCTCATGTGTGACGTGTTGATTTCACAACGATTTAGGTCAGACAAAATATGCAAATTTGAAATATATAATCTCATACAACCAATGAACCTTAATTACACTCCAACTGAAACATTTAGAACAATTCATATCCTGTTACTATTGCGTGACTTCCTTTATATATACAGCAAACTACGTTTATAACGAACACGCTTATAACGAACTGACGGATATAGCGAACTAATTTTTAGTCCCGACCATTTGCTGTATACATGCTGTATGTATGCTTATAACGAACTACGGTTATTACGAACTATAATTAGTGGTCCCCTCGAGTTCGTTATAACCGTAGTTTACTGTACGTATGCATATGTATGCGTGGGTGGGTGAGTGTGCATGGGTGGGATGGAGGTGTACTGGGCGGAACGTATACGTACATGCAGGCCTTGCTTGCTTTGAAGAAGTATTATGCATGGAAGGTTGGTGTTACTCACACATTGCATTATCATAGGTTTTTATAGAGACATTCTAGGATATTGAAATACAGTAAACTACGTTTATAACGAACACGCTTATAACGAACTGACGGATATAACGAACTATTTTTGGTCCCGTCCATTTGCTGTACAGTAAACTACGGTTATAACGAACACGCTTATAACGAACTAACGGATATAACGAACTAACGTTTTATTCCCGACTATATGCTGTAGCTATGCTGTACATATGCTTATAACGAATTACGGTTATAACGAACTAAAATTAGTAGTCCCTTTGAGTTCGTTATAACCGTAGTTTACTGTAACGGTTTTGAAGCCACAATTTCTGTTTTTCTGATTGTTTGCCAAAAAAGAAGCTCGTGCAGAGGAAGTAAACTGGTCTTTTTGTAGTTTAATAGCTCGAATTGGCAGGTCAGATTAGTTTATACTTTATAGTTCAGGATGTTTGATAATTAACAGCAACCGCCTCCGTGTTCTAGTGGTTTGCCCGGAGAGCGGAAGGTCGGTGGTTCGATCCCGGGCCGCGGCATATCAAAAGATGTTATAAAGGTACTTGTTGTTACCCTGACTGGCGCTCGGCATTAAGGGAATAAAACAAGGACTGGTCGGCTCGGAGTCAGTATACTGTGTCCGAGTGGGGTATTCATGTTAAACTGCGGCATGGGCTATCACTCTACAATCGGCATGAACGTCGCTATATAAGTGCAACAATCTTGATAAACCCATTTCACCTCATCTTGATATTTCACAGTCATATCAGCACGCAGTTACTGCGTGTGTGAAGTGTTTCTTTTGACCATAGACGATCAAACAATGCATTTAATCGTTGAATTGGTGGTCAATTGTTACTTACAAGTGTTTACTTGTTTTATAGCTTTTTCGCATCTAAGATAAAGCTTTTGGGCAGTTAAGAATAAACTTATTTACCACAAAGTGTATTGAGAAATGTTTTTTTCGGTTGTTGTTTTACGCCGCACCCAGCAATATGTGCAGGAAGATATGGTCTATGGGAGTTGAATGAATGAATGAATGACTTTATTTCGTAAGGGGGCCACCGGCCCATTATACATTGTCCATTAATCGGTATCCATTGTAACGGTGGAGCGCCAGATGATAACAGAGTATATAAAACTAACAATGGTAAAAAAATAGAGCAGATCATACTAAAAAGATCCTTTCTTGTCCACAGGGGTTTGTCCCAACCGATTACTTTATATGAAATTGTTTACAGTGCATAAATAAACAATGAAGCTTTGGGAAGTATCAGTACTTATTTACAAAAGAGTTTGTCACAGTAGATAAATACAGTAAAGTACGTTTATAACGAACACGCTTATAACGAACTGACGGATATAACGAACTGATTTTTTTGTCCCGACTATTTGCTATTGTTATACTGTATATATACTTATAACGAACTACGGTTATAACAAACTAAAGTTAGTGGTTCCTTTGAGTTCGTTATAACCGTACTTTACTGTACATAAATTCTGTTTACAGTGTATATATGAGCAATAAAGTTTGAAAAGTAGAGCAGAAAAGTAAATCCTACAAGAAGCATCAGTTCTTGTTTACAAAGCGTCTATTTCACCCGACCGCTGGGGACTGAATTATTGAAAGCCATTATTAAATATGTAGTGAGTATCAACCCAAATACATGTGTTTTCCTTTTAATACATGTTCATATTAATCATTGGTTAAGAAGTTGAATGGTATTTCACTGTGTTTTTTATTCAGTTGAAATCCCACAGTTGTCACAAAATATATTTTTATAAGTAACAGCCTTGCTTTGCGACAAGGCTAATTCAACTGTAATGACATTTTTCGAGAATGAAATGGGGTTTCAAATATTTGAAATAGAAAATGTTAGCAGTATTTCGATAAATGCAGTGATTTAGTAATCAATAAAACTCTATTTGTCGCTGAGCACCAAGACATCCAGGCACGTCGAGAGTGCTTTATCGCCAGCGTCTCAGTGCTTATCGTTAGCCGTCTTTTAAGCCTCCTAAGCGGGAGAGTGCGTGGTGATGGCTGATGGTAATACTGGGAACACAAGGAGCATCTGTTCTGACAGACGGGTGGTGTCTCACATGGGACAGAAAGCTCATATCATCTACTACACAAGCTAAATCAGGGTAGCTCTGTCATTACATTTTCTTAATGAACACTTTGACTATGAAAGAATTTTGAGTTTTATGGATTGAAAAACACATTTTTACAACAAAGCGTTGCATTTCTGCCTTTGATTATTAATAATAATCATCATCATCATCACCATCATCATCATCATCATCATCGTTTTATTACGGGCCGCCTCCGTGGTCTAGTGGTAGAGCGTCCGCCCGGAGAGCGGAAGGTCCGGGGTTCGATCCCCGTCATACCAAAAGACGTTAAAAGATGGTACTTGTTGTTACCCTGTCTGCCGCTAGGCATTAAGGGGCTAAAACAAGGACTGGTCGGCTCGGAGTCGGTATACTGTGTCTGAGTGGGGTATTCATGTTAAACTGCGGTATGGTATCTCAGTGAGCTAGCACTATAAATCGGCATCAGTCCGGACTAGTACAAGCAGCCACACACACACACATGTGCATGCACGTCGCTATATAAGTGCAATAATCTTGGACGCGACGTTAAACCCCATTTCACCTCACCCACCTCATTTTATTGCCGTCTTCGCCATGCTTGTGGTTTTGACCCGAAGGTCCATCAATGGTACGGCCCAGATTATATGGAGGGCGTCATGGAAAATGACAAATACAAAATTCTTTGGAATAGGCCCGTTTACAGCCTCAGACCTGCGCGGAAGATGAGCCTAACCAGCCTGACTGTGCCAGGATCACCCAACCCTTCTTTGCTGCATTTTTGAAAAATGTAATCTGTACATAATAATAATAATAGGATGATGATGATGATGATCATGATGATGATGATGATGATCCTTGTCATGATGGTAATGATGGAAGGATAAGAGTAATAATAAGGAGACTGAATGTTTGCGAGAACAGCACTGTATCCATGTCACATTGTTAACTTGAATCACAGTTCACTGGTGACAAATAATTTCAAATGTGTCAGGCAAACGTTGTTAGCATTCTTCACTTACAGTTTATGGCTGTGGAGATCCAGCATCACAATTTCATAATATTTAACCTTTCGTGAAGATATTTCTGAATGCATGCAATGGTTATGTTTGGTTAATATGTCCATTCGAAAGCTCATGCTTTCATAGTGCCTGCAGTGGTCTGTGCCTGTCGTTTCTTTAGAATGTGTCCGTGTTTTCCCCTACGATTCCCCTACTGACAACTGACAATCGTGATGTATATATGACCTGTTCTGGAGTCGGTGTTTCCCTGATAAAGCACGAGGGCTCACGGCTTACCTTCATCATGGCTTGGGCTGGCCGTCTATGGCTGCGAATCAAGTCTCTTGTCACGAAAGGCCATTCCAGCCGCGACTTCATCACAATCAGGAATGTAGACATCTTGATCTGTAGAGGAGGATGAGGCGTGCATGCTGCTTCAACGTATAAGATAGACTGTGACTCAGTGTGCGTGTGTGTATATTTGAAATGTGCTGTATCAGACCAGTGCAGAACATCGCGAGCCGTCTTTATTCAGGTGTCA